TCATCCACTAAGACCTTAAGACAAATAGTCAAACCTTACCTCTTAGTATTCATACTCACAATTTAATATCACATTTCCCTTCACAACTTGAGTACTATTCACCCATTCACTATACAACAATGCTTAATTAGTTCTATAACACTTTGAAAATTATGGGCTCTCCCTCAAAATCATAAGCCTAGCTTAGATCTATCGCCTCATGTATACTCTTGTTCTTCTATTCAACGCTTACACTTGGTCAGTACCTACACAATGACACTTCATCACAAAATCCTTTTTAGCTATAACACACTCTACCTCTTATGATGGAAATTTCACAACTCATCACTTCTTAGTCTACCCATAAGGGAAAACTCATCAATACTAACTTACTTGGTGCATGATTATAGTAACACATCTCTTCAAAACACTATCTCCCTACCTTAGATCACTAAACCTCTGCATACTTTCCTCTAACTATGGGCTCTTTCACTACTATTGCTCATGATCTCATAACTCATGCTACCTTTTTGGGTGGATATATTACCCAAGCTCTAAACATACCTCCTCATAAGGATCTCAGCAGAAACAAGGCTTAAGAAAAAAAGTACAACTCATTTTTTTGCTCAAACACACGATTTATATGAATATGAAGGCATTACTCTGAAACTCAACACTTAGCTCACTCATGGGCTTCTCTCAAGCCCTTCTGGAGTCTCATGACTTCCTCAAGACTTTGCTAAGAGAAACTCATCGATAAAGAACTAACTTTTCTTTTCAACCACCTCTAGTATGAAGGGTAGTCGAATGGATATGAGAACACACGAGTTAGAATAAGTCTCTATGACATAGCTCTATTGCACGATTAAGAGTATGAAAGAAGGGGAACTTTTCTTAAACGTCTGTTGTCCGTCATTTATAGAAGTAGGGCCCTCACAACCATAAACAAGACCCTACTGACACCGCTTACAAGACACCCTAGGACACTTGAACTATGTGTTGTGATACCAAGTTTATCACGATCCGAGCCTACACCCTGGACGTGACCGGCACTTGAGAACCATTGTTGGTCCCCAAGTGAACCCTCATCCTGGCTGACTACAAGCGGAAGACTAACTCAAGCATACAAAGCTTAAAACTGAATAAAATTCATGAAACTCAAATATAAAGCTTTAACTCAAATGATTTAATCTGAATATAAATAGTATTCAACTATCCAAAAATAGGCAACCCAAGGCTTTAAAACATTTAACAAAATAAATGAACAGACTTCTAAAATTCTATTGTCTATCTATGAAGCCTCTAACTGACAAAGATGGAAGTCGGGACAAGACCCACGACATCATAACAATTGATATAACTGAAAGTACCAATGGAACCCTCCGAAAGTAGGGAAGCTCACCATAGGTAACTCGAAATGCATGTGGTATCAACGACACTCTTATTGATGATCCTGAATACATGTATCTGCATCATGAAACGATGTAGGCCAAATGGCTCATCAGTACATGGAATGTACAAGCATGTAAGAGGAATTCTAAAGCATGAACATAAGCTTGAACTGGTTGAATAGCGACATACTTACCTCTTCTCGACTCAGTTAACTCAACTCAAAGAAACATAGTTCAACTCAACTCAGAGAAAATAGGGCTCAATTTAATGATAAGATATTTAACTCAGTGAAATAAGGCTCAAACTCAATTATCATATACTCGACTCTGGGTACTCAACTCTGTATACTCAACTGTAGATACTTAACTCTAGATACTCAACTCAATATAAAGCAACAATAAGAGATGCAATATATGAAAAACTTTTAAAACAATAGAAAGCAACTCAATGTATTTAAGAATACAATATACTCAGTTTGTATGAAAGGATACAATATAAACTCTGTTTGTATATGAAAATACAAAATAAACTCTGTGTATATAAGAATACAAAATATCTCTGTAGGAGTTTCTCTAACCGACAACCATTACTTATGAGCTTTGTGATGATACAACGTTTTGCGTCACGCTGCCATGGTTGTCCTATACCTTGCCAGGGGTATAGAACCTAACTACTAAGTGGTCCACTAGTCTATGCTAAAAAGCACTAAGGAATCATCTAAAAGGTATGACCATTTTCTACCCACATTGGCCACATGGTTTATGGGGGCTTGAGTTGTCTGAACTCTCCCCCATATCGGTGATTAATACTACTCCCAAAATATAACTAGCTCATATGTTTAAAAGCATAACTATTTCCATGGTTTGAGATAATTACTCAAAAACTAGCCTAAAGGCTCTCTAGGAAATCAATGTTTCCGCTCTTGGTTAAATATGAAAGCATTTACTCTTTACTGAAAAACTAGCTCAAAGGCTCTATTGGAAATTGGTGTTTCCTTTCTTGTTTAAATGTGAAAACATTTACTCTTTACTGAAAACCTAGCTCAAAGGCTCTTTTGGAAATCGGTGTTTCCTTTCTTGTTTAAATTTGAAAACATTTACTCTTTAAGAATACATAGTCCCTATATACTCTTTTGAAGAAAAGAACCTCACTCTTTACTCTTTACTCAAGTCTTAAAACAAGTTTAAAGCATTTGCAAAAGACTTTTTAAAATAGAGTTCATGCCGTTTTATGGACGCGAACGACTCAATTCAAGGTTTTCAATAACCATGGATAGAACTCAATACTTCGAACTCAAGAACTTCAATGATACTACTCATTTCAAAAACGCTCAACTCATAGGGTTCATGCGGAATTGTGAGCATGAACTACTTAACTCAAGCACTAAACGATACTTCTCATCTCAAGACTGCTCGACTTATAGGGTTCATGCGGAGTTATGGGCATGAACTACTCAACTAAAGGACTTCATGGGTAACATGTAATAGTCCCATGATTAGGAATATAATCTCAAAAGGGTTCTGAGCTCAATACTCAAGACTTAGAACTTGAAGATACCACTCGTCTCAAAGATACTCAACTTATGGAGTTCATGCGGAATTTATGGGCATGAACGACTCGACTCAAGGGTCTACATAACGATATGGAACTCGTGTATAAGACTCTTCTCGTTCTCATACTCACTTCCTCAAGCTTAGCTAAAAGTGATAGTTGATCTCAAAGGATTCACAATTGAACTCCAAAGCTTTCTTGAACTTTACTCTTAACTCTCCCTTGAATGTGAATTATGAATTCAAGAATTATGGTTCATGATATGAAGGGTCTCGTGATGACCAAGTAGACTCATGAATACATTCTTCTCACACTCATGCTCACTTGCTCGAGTCTTGAAACACATTATTACTCTTAGCTCTTAATTTATGGGTTCAAGATTATGATTTGTGATACGAAAGATATCGTGATGTTTACGAGTGTTTTTAGATAGTTAAAATGAGAAACGATCAAGAAATCATTGTCTGGAAGCAAGTCCGCGACACGGAGATGCATTTTAATATTTTGTCGCGAAATAAATTTTGAGGCAGAGGAGTCCGTGACGCGGAGAGAAAAGTTCTGTTTCTGAGGAACAGGTCCGCGACGCAGACCTAGTACCCAGTTTCTTCCTGACTTTTTCCTTCTTCGTTTTCTAACCCCAATTTGCCTAAATTCGATTCTTTTTCTCAATTACTCTTTAGATTCAAATACCCAATACATGTACATAAGAATCTAATCAAACACAGCTTTAAAATCGACACGATTTCCTCAAGAACTCATCAATCTCATCTAAACTCAAGAACGAAAGCCAATTTCAAGAACACAATTTAAGAATATCAAACCTTCAACTTTCTAGAACGAATTTAATGCTGAAATTAACATGATTGGTGTGTAGGTGAACGAACCCAACACTATTGAAGCTTACATACCTCTTAGGGATCAAACCCATGACAAAAATCTGCAACAAAACTCAAGAACCTCGACGAACGCCTTGATCCTTTCCTCTTTTCTCCTCTTTTCTCTTCTTGAACTCTCAACTAAAACCCTAGGCGTATATTAGGATTATAAAAATGAACCTAATCAGATTAGACCCCTAAAACCTTACTAAAAACGAATTTAACCTGATTGGGTAAGGAAAAGACCAAAATACCCCTTACTATTTTCGGGTAACTTTCCTTAATTGGACAGCCTGACTTAAAAAGGGAATATCTCACTCATTCGAACTCGAAACTTAGCAAAACAGTGGCGTTGGAAAGATAATTCAAAGACCTTTAATTTGATATCTTATAGCCCACCTAACTTATCATGTACTGAATGTTAGTGTCGTTTGAAGTTAACCCAAAACTTAGAAGAACTTAGGAATGACTTGAATGAACTCTCTTTAGTTCTTCTTGGAACTCAAGGTGCTATATCTAGTGACCTTAACACTGAGGAAAATTCTAAATTCCTTGGTGAAATCTCACTCAATACTTAGAACGGTTCGAGTCTTAGTTCAAAAATTTCCTAGGGTGTTACACATGTAGTATTAAATTCCTTTGCATTACTACTACCTAGAAATCCATGGTATTAATAATACGCTCCTCAAATAGACAATACAAACATTAGTTATATATAGCATGAAAAAGTGTATCAAACAAGAAACTACTAATACATAAAATTAACAAATGTATTATTTTTACTAATATAGACAACTGTGTATTATGCCTTTAAATTTTATGTCGAATGCAATCCACAAAAAAATAGGATAAATTGGGTGGGTCCTTTGTCTGTGGGCTTAGTTTGAGAGTCCCCCAACCCCACAAAGACAAAAGTTCATGAATGGTCAGGAAAGAGAGCAAAGGTGAGAGAGACCCTTTGGGCCTGGGGATGCAGGCATGTGTTTCAGTGGGGGACACTCATCAAAGACTCTTCACAAAAAAAATGATTTTTTTAATTAAAAAAATCTTCCCACAGAACCCCACTTGATGAATTATTGAGTGAATGACAGAAAAAAAAACTGCAAATATTAAAGTGGTGAGAACCCAAGATACTCCATAGGTGAAAGATGTAATCGCAAAGATTATTTAAAGCCATTTTTAGTTATATATATATACTTTATTGTACTTTTCTCCTTCTACTTGTTGTTTCAACATGCCTAAATCTACAAGAGCTTATGAATGTGTTAAAAAAGCTTGGCATAGTGATACACACCAACCAATCAGAGGTTCCTTTATTCAAGAAATTTTCAGGTACTGTTTTTTTTCTTCCTTTTCAACAGCATTTTGAGGAGTTTTGTTTAAGATTTCTTATGTTTTTCTTGAGTGGGTAGGATTGTGAATGAGGTTCATGGCTCAGCAACAAAGAAGAATATGGAATGGCAAGAGAAGCTTCCTATAGTTGTTTTTAGAGCTGAGGAAATTATGTATTCCAAAGCCAATTCTGAGGTTTTTGCTTTTCCCCTTCTTCTGATTAACTTTATTTATTTGTAATTATGTGTTGTTTATATGTATGTTGTTTGTTTAGGCTGAGTATATGGATCTTAAAACACTTTGGGATAGATTGAATGATGCTATTGACACTATCATTAGAAGAGAATACAAAGATGAATCTAAGTCTAGAGGCCTCTTACAACCTTGTATTGAAGGTACCCTAAATTGAAAATTCTGGTTTGATATAGTAGTAATTGTTTATTATGTTGATTTGAGTTAATCATCTTTTTCGCTTTCTTCGTAGCTGCTTTGCATTTGATCTCACCAAAAAGAATAAGGAACACTTGTCCAAGATATTATCCAACTCCACAGGCTAATGGAAATTCACATGACAGAAACAGAGAAAATCCTTTTCCTAACATTCAATTTTTCTCAAAACTCAAAAATTCAAACCCACAATCTAACAAAATGCTTCCTTTCTCAACTCTGAAATTACCAATGCAGACTACCCGTACTTCGCCTTCTTCTTGTTCTATATATCCTTTGTATAATGGTTGTCAATCTGAACCTTCCGGTCCCAAATTTGGCTCCACAAGTGATGACAAATCAAATGCTCAGCTTATGGATGAGAACAAGAAGATTGCTCTAAGAAATACTCTGTCATGTAACTTAAACGCGTCAAGTGAAACTTCTCGGACAGATTTTGAAGATGTTTCTGAAAATCAGACTGTAATAGGGTGTGATTTATCGCTGCGTTTGGGTTCGTTTTTGGTTCCCTGCACTAGAGTTGAGCACACTTTATGTGAGGATGAAAAAGCTGGTGATATATGCAAGTTGAATGATCTATCTCCACAGTTCAATAGAGGGTTGTCATTCTTTTTGAACGAAAATGCTGATAAAAACCAGTTTGAATCATCTTCAATGAGTTCAGATAGTCAAAATTTGAATGTAAAGTCAGTTTTGGCGAAGAGAAAGCATGGTGAGGATCAGCAGATATATTGGCCAGTGAAGCTTCCTTTTAACAAATTCAGGTCCTAGATTAACAACTTAGGTTTCAGTATTTCTCTTGACAAATTTGGATGTAGTAGTTTTGCATTTCCTTTTGATGAGGTTTGTTTGTATGTCCCTAATTTTGAAGTGTTAATGACCACTAATATTCAATGTGTTTCAAGAATCATGATGTGTATTCTTGCATAAAACTCCACTTATTGAAGAACCAAAGCCAAAATGGTCCCAAAATCAGACTACACTATAAACAGTAGCAGTAATTATGTTGGGAGAGTCAGGATAAAGTGATTGATAGAGGCCTTAGTGCTTTATAAGTGAATTAAGTGTCTTTTTCACACAAGTGTTGATATTCAAATCCATGAAGAATGATCAAGTGCTACTTTTCTTTGATTCTTCATTGAGTATATATGTACTTTAATAAGAGGTAGGGGCATTTTCTTGCTTAAAACCAACTGGGATTGTATATTCAAGATCCATGTTCCTAGGAAAACTTAACTATATACACTGTTGATGTACTGAAGCAGTGATCAATAAGAGATGAAGTTATGGATGGATTGGGACCTTGTTGCTTTTCAACTAAATTGAAAGGTCATTTTACAAGAACTGCTCATTGAAATGGGGATAAATGGACCCCCTTCCACTAGTATTTCTCTTTCTTTTTTCTTTTTTTTTTGGTTTTTTCATTTGGTGTCAGGTATTCACATTAGAGTTCAACTAAATTCAAATTCGTGTCGAGAAGTCTCACATTTGGGGTAAAACGCTCCCTAACAAAGACGACTCTGTATCCATGGAGACTCGAACCCGAAACTTCTGATTAAGGATGAAGAAGTACTTACCATTCCATCAAAATCCTTGTTGGTCCCTTCTACTAGTATTTCCTTTTGAGCAAACCAAAGACTGCACTTTTGCACATGACCTGCTTTCTTTTATGGGTATTCATGGAGACTCGAACCCAAAACCTCTGATTAAGGATGAAGAAGTACTTACCATTCCATCAAAATCCTTGTTGGTCCCTTCTACTAGTATTTCCTTTTGAGCAAACCAAAGACTGCACTTTTGCACATGACCTGCTTTCTTTTATGGTCCGCCCAACACGTATACAATTTCTTTTAACTTATTTCAAAATTTCATTTTAGCACTCCAGCTAAATTTTGTTTCATTTTTCATGTACCATTTAAATACAAAATGTTGAGTGCTGACTAAACAAATTGGGGAGATTGAAGCGCACGATGGGTGTTTTATAACATTAACTAGTATACGTACCCATGCGTTGCGCGGCTATATATGAATTTATGATTAATTTAATTTCATGAAACATCAATTAGTTGAAATATTTTTACATATTTGTCCTTTATTATTTTTATGTTGTATTGATATATTAATATATTTTTCATATTAACAATTTATTAGTCAAAAATATTTCACATGAAAGGTAAAATATCATAAGACTAAATGACATGTTAATATATTTTGCATATTATTTTTTTCAAATTCAAAAGATTCAAAATATTCTTTACATTCTTAAATTTGTGTCAAACGATAATAGAAAAGTAATTTAAAATAGAGTCAATATAAAATAATGTCATATAATAATAGAAACATGTTCATGATATATACATTTTTTATTAATCATTGAAAATAATTAATCACAAATATTGAATAAGTTACTTTTAAACTTTCGAAAAAGAAAATAATAATTTAATTTTTTTATCAAAGATTATATGTCGAGGAACTTATCAATTTTTCTAGTATTCTATTATAGTAATTATTGCGTAAATTCCTTTTATGACTATTATAAAATTTATCATAATTTTTAGTACTTATTATTTTAATACAACGTGTAATCTTTATTTATTATTTTCTTCAAATTGTTATTTTTGTTTAATCATAAAAAATAATACTTACAACAATTTCTGTTTTTATTAACTTAAATATATTTCAATACAACTTTTAACGTTTACTTACTATTTTCTTCCCGTGTTATTTTCTTTAGTCATATAGCAATAATACATACAACAATTTAATTTTTTATTAACACAAATACCTTTAGTAATAATTCTTCTAATGTTCTAAATAATAATGATTGCATTATTTATGATTACTATTAAAGTTTCTACATAATTGAGATAAAAATTGAGGTTACGTATAAACATAAGTATTTTTGAACAAACAAAATAATTACATGCACTATTAGAGAGTACCTTCTAGTTATATAACTATCTTACAATTATGATAAAGTCAGAAAAGTGTAACTATCTTCAAAAACTATAAATATTAAATTCAACATTTGAACTTTTAATTAGTCAGTTTCAATTATTTAAAAAATTACAAATTTCTTTATAATTTTTTTTTAAGAGAAGGCCAAAAAGGCTCATTTTATTAAAAAAAAAATACACCATCCGTGATATGGTCTGGATCAACCATCCATTCAACAGAAAGAACAAAACAATTAAAAAAACAATTAAGAAACCTGACTTAAAAGAGCAAAGGAAAGAATAAAAAATTGACATTCTCATAAAGGAAAGTGAGGCGATCTCTTGCTGCGTCAATCAGTCTTCTTCTTCAGCTGCTCGCCGGAAAAATAATTTTAAAATAACTAATTTATCATTTTTAAAATAATTTTATAATCCCTAATTAACTATTTAAAAATTTATATAAATTCTATATTTTTAAAAAATGTCTGAATTTCACGTTATAAAAAAAATCTTAATTTTGAATTCGCTTTGATATAATATTTTGAAACACGTTATTATTTGTCTCGATCTCCTATATAATGGTGCATATTCTATACATTTAATTTTTAGAATAGTTGTATATTCTATAGGTTTGAAAGTTCTAAATTTGAAAGACAAACCATTTATTTTAAGTATAGTAACAATTTAAAAAAATTATATTCTAAATAAAATTTAACTTAACAAATGAACAATTTTTTGTTCATACTTTAATATTTTATCACTCACAAGTATATTACTAAAAAGCTATAAGAAAGTGGAATAATATGCATGAATCATGATATTCTACATTTCTCGATACATTATATTAATAATTCCATAGTAATTAAGATATTCAATTGCACATATTTAGCATTTAAAAAATGTGAATATATCACCAATAATCCAACAATCAAAAACATGTTAGTGTAAATGATTGAGTAAAAATTTACAGAAAATGAAAAAAAAAAGTATTAGAATAACTTCACTAAAATTAAATTTAAAAAATAACGTACAATCTAAAAAAAAGTATTAATCGCCGTAAAAAAATCAAAGATTACAAATGTAAATAAATAAAAATATAAAACTCATTTGATTTAAAGAATTTAAGTGCATAATATCACAAAAAACAAATCAAAATGAATGAAATAAACTAAAAAGTCACAATAAGACATTATACTTATCAATATCATTTTTTGCAGAGGATTTTCAGTTTGATAAATATTGTTCTTCTTTTGCTTGGACTTTCACTTTTTTATTTGCAAATATATTCAAATTTTCTTCGGCTAGCCATCAAATAATCTATCTATTCACCCCATAAAAAATGAAGATAAGAAGAATGAAACTAATTTAACAAATAACATTACGCATTTGAAGAAGAATAGATTCATGGTTCAATTATCTGATTTAAAGAATTTATGTACAAAATATGACAAAAACAAATCAAATTGAATAAAATGAACCAAAATTTTTTTTTCACAAAAAGACATTATTGATCTAACAATATCATCATTTGCAGAAGATTTTCATTTTGATAAATATTGTTCTTCTTTTTCTTGGACTTTCACTTCGTTATTTGCAAGTATATTCAAACCTTTTTTATTCGGCTAGCCGACAAATAATCTACCTATTCGCTCCATAAAAAGATGAAGACAAGAATAATGGAAAGAATTCAACAAATAATACTATACATTTGAAGAAGAATAAGATCAATTAGTTTTTTTAATGAACTTTATTTATGTATATATAAGGAATAGAGATAATGGGTAGAGTAGTTTTAGTTAACCACTTTAAATTTAAATTCAAAAAGTAACTACTCTGCCATTGTTTAAAAAATAGTTACGTGAGTTGGTTACTTATTTTGAAAAACACACATTTAAAATTAATTTTTTTATTTTTTAAAAACTAAAGTATATCTTCATTTAACAGATTTTTTTATTGTGCGGGTAGTTTTGCTATTTATTTATTTAAAATGATTGATGCACGTTTTTTATTTTATTTTTTCTTTGTTACATTTTCTATTACTATAACCTATTTTAACATTTTTTACTCTTTTGTCCGTTGGTATTTTATTTTTATTTTTTTGTATTTTAAATAGTTTGTTTAAAATTTATTTATTTATTTATTTATTTTTATTTTATTTGTGTGGTGTTGACATGTGTCATTCTAATTCTAATTATTGACATGTGTCTTTATTTATTTATTTAATTATTGATTATTAATTATTTAAAATACTGAAAATTTGTGGTGCTGACATGTGTCATTTTTTCTTCTCCTTTTATATATAGATAGATATTCGGTATTGTTATTATTAACAACCTTCTCCCCTATTTATTTTCTTTATCTTCTCTTGAATCCCATTTTTTCCTTCATCTATACTGCTTATTTATTTATTTTCTTCATCTACCTCCTTTTTTATTCATCTCTGTCTATGCTAAAGATAATATATATTTTTTAAAATTACATAATTTATTTTTTTATAAAAAATTTAAAGTATCAGTTATATTCTATGTTATAAAGGACTAAATAAAATGTTAGAATAATCCGTAAAGAGCTAGATTGAGAAAAATGCTACCATATCAATATTTAAAATTATAATTACTGGAATGATGAAAAATATTTTATTGATGCAACAAAAATTGAAAAAGATGGATGTATTCATAGTAACATAAACTCGATGTTTATATTAACTTGTGTCACTAGTCGATCTAAACAATAGATTTGTAATTAATTGAATATAGTTATTTAATATATATTCTTATATTGCTTAAAGATGATAAATGAATACAATTAATGTAAATGTCAAGTAAATCCGGATGACTTAGAGAAAATAAAATACGTCATGCTATTTAATTATATGTCTTTTTATTCTTTTAATGTTTGTCTAACATATGTTGAAAACTTATAATAGATAAAAAGAAATTGTGTTTAAATAATACATGAAAAAATGAAGTTG